TCAAAAAGACCGAAAAAATATAAATAGTTTAAAAAAATAAAAGTAGCAACATATGAATGAGATTTAATTAAACCATCTTGTATCTTTAACTGGCTCTCTTTAACTTTAAATTTAAAAATAAATTAATGCCTGCTCTTTTCACCCAGGACTGAGAAAAAGTCTCATGGTAAGCCACTAAACAAGATGACACTTCCTTTTTTTCTTTTTAATCAAGTTCTTTTGGGCGGGGGAGGGGGGGTCTTTTTGAGACAGGGTCTCCCTGTAGCCCCAGCTGGCCTGGATTCGCTATGAAGACCAGGCTGGCCTCGAACTCACAGAGATCCACCTGCCTCTGCCTCCCAAGTGCTGGGATTAAAGGCGTGCACCACCACGCCCGGCAAGTTCTTTTTTTTTTAATATTTTATGTGTATGAGTGTTATGCCTGCATGTAGGTAAGTGCACCCATGTCATGTAATGCCGGTGGAGGACAGAAGAGGCTGTCGGATCCCATGGAACTAGAGTTACAGTCAGTTGTTAGCTGCCATGTGGGTACTGTAATTCGAACCCATGTCTTCTGCAAGGACAGTCAGTGTTTGTAACCGCTGAGCCATCTCCCCAGCCCAAGATAACACTTTTAAAAGGAGATTAAGGATATCTATATTTCCTGTTACTATTAAACCCTTCCTAAAGATTATAAGCTCGTGAGACCTTGCTGAGTAGTAGGGAAAGCACTTTCTTTTTCTCATCTTGCCCAAAGTGAGCCCTGTTTCCACTTCTTTTTCATGAACTTCCCTCTTTGGCTGCATAAAGAATGCCTGATAAAACATAGAAGACATCCTGATCACTCTACTCTATTCTATTCTCCCAGGTGCATGTCAGTCTCAGACTCAGAAGATGGCGCTTGTTAACCTATTTGCCTACAAATATACATACATATGGCTTTATCTGTTTCTGTGTGAGAAATACTGAAGAAGAAAGAATACTTGTGAGATTTTGTGTCTTGTAGTTACAGAAAACAGTGACTTTTAAGGATGTTCCTGTGAAGTTCACTCAGGAGTAGATGACTTTGAACTCTGCTTGGAGAAGTCTATACGGAGATGGAATGTTGAGAAACTATATAAATCTTATTGCAGGGGCTGGAGAGTTGGCTCAGCAGTTAAGAGCACTGACTGCTCTTGCAGAGGACCTGGGTTCGATTCCCAGCACCCACATGGCAGCTATGAACCATCCTTAACTCCAGTTCCAGGGGACTCCAAAGCCCTCTTCTGACCTCTGCAGCATTGTGTGACACAGGTGCACTCACTTGTACACATAAAATAAAAATAATAAATAAAATTTAAAAATCTTATTGCAATAGAATATCAATTATGCACACATTCTGTGAACTCACCTTTCTATCAAGTAAGAACTATGAAAGGGGAAATTCCTCAAATCAGATATCCAGACTGGAACTGTCAATTTAAAACCAAAGCATCTGCTACTCAGAATGTTTTAGGAGAGAAAGGAGCTAGTGGAGTGGAACTAAGACTTATAATGGATATTGGTCATCCACATTAAGAGAAAAAATAGAAATGTTATAGTCAGAATACAATACAAACATTTGAAGCAATGACATGTACCCAAAAGAAAACAGACTCTCACAAGATATACTGAACTGTCTTAAATTAGAGAAAACTTTAAACTTGGATCAAAATTTGGTTTTTCACAGAGAGTGAATACTAGTTTCTACCAGTAAATACTGCCATAAATGCTACTTGGATATTGAATATTTAAAACATAATTCAGTTCTAAACTTAAAGTGAAAAGCTCTGTGGAAGTCATGGACATGACTGAGCCATACGGCATCTTGAAAGAACTCAAAGAGAACAAAAAGAGTGTACGTGCTGGAAACATGATATACACCTCAGTCATTACAATGTGTTTCTTAGACGTAACAATTTTCATATAATGGGAAAATCTTATGAATGTTTTAAAAATAAAACCCTTTATCATTTACCCTTTAAGAAACATGAGCAAACTCATACTGGAGGGAAACAATATGAATGTAATCAATATGAAAAAGTGTTGGGGACCCCTGCTGTTTAGGGTAGCAGTCTCCCCCTGTCCTGATAGCCACAGGCTGGCTCAGCGTGAATGGGGAGACTCCTCTTCTCAGCGGGGCGCCTTCTGCTCTCCTCCCTGACTTACTTTTGAAGTGCCCGTCACAAGATACATGCCCTCTGGCATAGGAGCTACCAGGTTTTAATCAGGCGTTGTCTGATAGCCTGATAGAAGCCCACCGCCCTATGTAAATGAGGCATCCTAAAAGTACCTATCAGCTAAGACTTCTTCTACTGTCTCTACAAAAGCTGGAGCTGGAGCTGAATCACTGAGATCTGAGCTGAGTCACTTGTCTGAAGCTGTAACACTAAATCCTGTGATCCAGTCTCCCTGGGGGGGGGCTATCCTTCCGTCATCGACTCACGAAGACCCTGCTTTCGCCATTTCTTGCACCTCCCCTCGTGACCTGGTGGCCAACAGGTCTCGAACTTAGAGGGAGAGTGCATGGTGGAAATTGAAACGGAACCCGACCGGGCAGCTGACAGCGGTCCTAGAGCCGCCAGCTCCGGTAGCAGAGACCCACGGCGATGCGGTGCAGGACCTGCCGCACCCCAGGTGCACACAGGAGACCGGCACCATGCCCAGCAGCTTGCGCCCTGAGATCCCTGCACGCCCATAAAAAAGGCTTTAAAGCCAGGCGTGGTGGCGCACACCTTTAATCCCAGCACTCGGGAGGCAGAGGCAGGCTGATCTCTGTGAGTTCAAGGCCAGCCTTGTCTACATAGTGAGTTCCAGGACAGCTGGGGCTACAGGGAGACCCTGTCTCAAAAAGACCCCCCCAAAAAAGCCTTTAAAGGGATTTCTAATTTTATTTTGCATAAGAAAAGTCACGTAAGTGAGAAATGATATCAAAACAAAATAAAGAATGTGGAACAGTGTTCCTTAAAGAAAGAACTCACACTGGAGAGAAATCTTATGCAAGTAATCAGTGTGCAAAAGCTTTCATTCAGAAAACATCTATTAAGGCTCATGTGAGAACTCATACTGGAGAGAAACCTTATGAATATAATCAGTGTGGAAAATCCTTGGGCACAAGCTTTTACCTTATTATACACAAGGGAATACACAATGGAGAGAAACTCTGATTGTAGTGACTTTGAACACAAGCTCCTACCTCAAAGTTCACAAAAAGTATACTCTGGAGCAAACCTTTTTGAATGAAATGCTTGGGAAACCTTTTAGTGGCCTCTCTTCCTTTAGAATATATATCAGAATTCACATTGGAGTAAAGCCCTATGAATGTAAGGCATGTAAGACAGCCTTCAGCATTTCCTCTTCCTTAGGGGACATTTAAGTCACACTAAAACCTATAAATGTGTGGGAAAGTGTTCAGGCAAAACACTTCAGTTATTATACATAAGAGAATTCATACTGAAAAAGAAACCCTATGTTATGAATGTAGAATTGTCTTTTCATTGTCTTATAGCAAACTCCGAGCTTATTGTTTCAGCTTTTGTTTGATAAAATTAGCATTTAATGCTATAAATCACCTTGAAAATACTCCTTTACCTATATAACACATTGTTTATTTTTAGTTCTAAATGTTGTGTAGTTGGTATGATTAGTTTGATTCACGGCTGTTTAGGATTATATATTTTGGAGGCATTAGCATGAAGGGGTGCAGTGCATCTGTATGTCTAGATGTTCATTTGTGCATACCTGTGGTAGCCAGAGGTCAATCTCAGGTGTCATTCCTCAGAAGCGGACCACCTTGTATTTTGAGAGTCTCTCACTGGGACCTGGGGCTTACGATTTAGGCTAGGCTAGCTGATCGTCAGACCCCAGGGATACTTCTGTTGCTGTCTTTCCAGCAGTGGGATTATAAGTGCATACTACCACACCCAAGTTTTCTGTGGGTGCTAGGGATTGAACTGGAGTCCTCATGCTTGCTCAGCAAGTACTTTACCAACAGAACTACCTCCCTAGCCCCTACAATTATATATTGTTGACATGTGAGAGATAACAAATTTAGTTGCCTTTGGTTTTGTTTTTCATTCTAGTTTCCATTTTATTAATACTAATGAATTTTAAGTTTATTGCATTTGTATTACCTAGCCAACGAGACAATTGATTGGTGTTTTGAGAGTTCCTTTCTGGCCCAGTGAGACAGATACTGCACTAATCTAACACTGCTCATCTTATCTTACTCATAAATCCTATTTTAGCTTAGGATACTAATGTGTTGAGTTACAGAACTACTCTTAGCCTCCTTGCAACCAAGAATAACCATATCCCTCATTCTTGACCAATGAAAATTAGAGTGGCAGCTGCAGGGAACAAAACAATCTTTTTTTTTTTCCTTTTGCACTTTGTCTTTCTGATTTCACCTTTTTTTTTTTTTTTTTTTTTTTTTTTTTTTTTTTGGTCTTTTTGAGACAGTGTCTCCCTGTAGCCCGAGCTGTCCTGGAACTCACTATGTAGATCAGGCTGGCCTTGAACTCACAGAGATCCACCTGCCTTTGCCTCCCAAGTGCTGGGACTACAAGGCGTGCACCACCATGCCCAGCATTTTTTCTTTT